AGGTACTGTTCCATTACGGCATTAATTCTTTCCGTTTGTCCATCTGTTTGAGGGTGGAATGCGGTAGAGAATTTTGGTGATATTTCCAATCGATCACAAAGCGACCTCCAGAATTCTGCGACGAACTGTGTTCCTCGATCGGATACAATAGTATCTGGTAATCCGTGTAACTTCCAAACATTATCGATATATAGCCTCGCTACTTCCCTTGAATTTACCTCTTTAATCGTCGGTATTAAATGTCGCATCTTGGTTAATCTATCCACCACAACCAAGATTGCATTGTATCCATCGCTCTCAGGAAGATCAGTCACAAAATCCATCGAGACATCTGTCCAGGGTCCATTGGGAATCGGCATGGGGCGAAGTACTCCATAAGGTGCATTGTGTGATGCCTTGCTACGGGTGCACACATTGCAATTCCTAATATACTGATCGACAAACTTCCGCATCTGTGGCCAGTAATATTCTCGACTTAGGAGTTCCAGAGTCTTCGCTCTACCCGGATGTCCTGCAGATGGTTTGTCGTGGTATTCTTTTAAAAGCCTTAGTCGAAGGTCATCGTCGTCTGGTACATATAGCATGCCTCGATAAAGCAGCCGACCATTGTTATCTTCCATACATTCGGCAAGTGAGATTTTGTTTGAGTGGCGTATGCCATTCCGAAGCATATTGAGGACCTTATTTGGGAAACTATCCACTTGGTAAGCTTTTGAAAATAACTCCTCTACAGTGGACGCTCCTTCAGCGGATTCATTTGACAAAGAACCCGCGAACAAACTTAGCTTAGTATCCAAATTTTTTCGTTTCAGAATCACTTGACTCTGATGCGTCAACCGTTCATCCCCCTCTTTAGGTAGGTCACCTGACCTCCTAGTTAATGCATCTGGTTTTGTTCCTTGTTTTCCTGGCCGAAATTGTATAACGAAATCGAAACGTGAAAGAAATTCGGACCAACGGGCTTGCCGACGATTTAATAATTTTGTTGTCATAAAATACTCAAGATTCCGATGGTCGCTAAGAACTTCAATTGGAAATTGAGCTCCCTCCAGATGATGTCGCCATTCTTCGAAGCATCGTATAATTGCTAAAAGTTCTTTATCGTATATTTCGTAGTTACATTCTGCAGGAGAGTGTTTCTTTGAGAAGAAAGCGACTGGATGTAGGATTCCTTCGTTATCGCGTTGAGATAGGATTCCTGCTGAGACATAGTCGGACGCATCGGTTTCTATCACAATCTTTCGATCCGGATTAAAATGAGCTAGGATTGGCGCCGTTGTAAACATCTTTTTCAAAGTTTGAAATGCTTCCTCCCTTTCATCCGTCCAATCAAATTTAACATTCTTTTTCGTCAAGGCTGTAAGTGGAGCAACAATTTTCGAATATCCTAGAATGAATCGCCGATAGAAATTTGCAAATCCTAGAAATACTTGAACATCACGAAGGTTTGTTGGTGTGGTCCATTCCAAGACATCGATAACTTTCTTTGGGTCCATTCTATTCCCATTCGGAGTAAGGATTAAACCGAGATATTTCGTTTCTTGAACCATAAATTCACATTTTTCAGGTTTAAGGTGAACATGATTCTCATCAAGTACCTTTAAAATCTTTTGAATGTGTTCTTTATGTTCTGATAGAGTTTCGGAATAGATAAGGATATCGTCTAAGTATGCCGTTACGAATTGATCGAGGTAGGGACGTAGAATATCATTGATCCAATGTTGAAATGTAGCAGGGGCATTAGCTAATCCAAATGGCATTACTGTATATTCGAAATGTCCATATCGAGTCCGAAATGCCGTTTTCCATTCATCTCCCTCCGCTATCCTGATTTGATTATATCCCCAGCGTAAATCCAACTTTGTATAGTATTTTGCTCTTGACAACTTAGCTAGGGTTTCCTTTAACAATGGTAACGGATATCGATTTTTGATTGTAATCGCATTTAGACCTCGATAGTCAACACAAAGTCGAAGAGTTCCATCGTTTTTCTTTACGAACAATATAGGTGCTCCCGCTGGTGATTCACTGGCTCGGATGAATCCTTTAGGTAAATTTTCATCAAGATATTCCCGTAGTGCTTTCAGTTCAATTTGAGACAATCCATATATAGGTCCATATGGTGGTCGTTTACCTTCTTCCAGTACTATCTCGATGTCATGGGATGGTCGATGTGGTGGGAGAATTGAAGCATCGTATTCTTTAAACATATGGAGACGATGGTAAAACTCTTTCGGTACTAATTGTTCAATGTTGACCGTAGATTTTTCAGTTGCTGAAACGATGACCGTATGGTGTTCCGGTAAGGGAATCGAGATGCCATGAACAATAACTGCAGTTCCACTGAGTGAACAGTATTGACAACAGCTTCGAGAGTCAAAAACAAGTAGATTTTCTTTTGGTCGAATCGTAACATCATGTCGTCGCATCCAAGGTATCCCCATCACAATCGGATAATGTCCTAACTTTGTTACAAAACATGGCGCAACTTCCCGATGACCATGAATGTCTAACGAGACATCGACAATGTGAGTAATTTTTCCTGACTTAATAGGCCTTCCATCTATAACGTCTACATGGCGAGGTATTTTGAGTGGGGTCATTGTAAGATTGTTGTGGCGTGCAAAAGATTCATCAATAAAAGCATATCCTGATGCTCCGGTATCAATAAGGGCGTAGGTAGGTATAAAAGAATTTTTATTCTGTGAAATCGAACAAGTTACTACAAGTTGATTTCCATCCATTTCCTCCTCTGATACCGAAAAACCAGAAATACACATCCTAGAAAAATCCTTAAATGGTCCCTGGGCTAAGCCACTTAGTGCAGGGACAAATCTTTTGCTGACTCGTTATCGCTTCCGTCATTTTCTTCCACTGTCAACGCCGCTCCTCTCATCACAGGCCTCCTTGGTTGATTTCCAGTTGCCCTCGCTTGGGGGCAATCTCTAACCATATGTCCAACACCTCCACAATAAAAACATCGGCCCTCAACTAAGCGGGCATTTCTTTCAGTAGGGGAGGGGCGACGACGCCCTCCAGATAGATCCATTGGTACATCACCTCCCGGGCGGGATGAGGGATGACTTTCAGTAACAGGTGCATTGGCGACTGGGGCGGCAGCGCGGGGAGCAGAAACAGGACTTGCTGGTGGAGGACGAGGGGCCGAAGTAGTAGTAGTAGTAGTCCAAGGTTTTTTACCTCCTCGCTTAGCTTCTGCCGCTCGGCGACGATTATCCAACCGTTGCAGAAGTGTCGCACAAGCATTTACCGTTGCAGGAGTGTCATGGTGTATCATTGATTCATCGAGTTCCGCATTAATACCTTCCATCAAAGCCTCAATCCGAGAGACTTCATCCATACCCGACTCAGCAGCATATCGTTGGAACTCAGCAAAATAATCGGCGAACGTTCGATTTCGTTGACGGATGTTCCTAAGATTCCTCCTAGCCGTACGCATCCGATCGGGATCCCCGAAAGCAGTATCCAAAATCTCATAAAATCGTAGCATAGAGGGTAAAGCAATACCTTCTTCGCCAACATATTGTAAAAACTGATTAGCGGCAACGCCTTCCAATCTACTGAATGCATAGGATAGTTTAGACTGTAGCGTAGGATAGCGATCGGCATTTCCCAATAGCTTAATCTTCATTTGTTGCTTAAATAGGTGTAACCTTTCTCGATCACGATCCCCCTTGAATACCTCAGGGTCTGGAAGCTTCTCCGACCGATAGGTAGTATCTGTAACGGGTGGTACTGGGGGTGCAGGTGGGACATTGTCTTCGTTGGGTGCTTGCACAGGGGCGACAGCCTCAACAGGAGCCTGTTGAGCTCGGGCAGCAGCAAGATCTTGCTCAAACCTTCTCCTCGCCCTCTCGGCCTCCGCTTCTACCTCCTGTAAATCCGTTGCATATTGAGCAAGACCATGTTGGCACTGTTGGAGGAGTGCATAGGCTTCAGTTCCAACAGTATCATCGACCTGTGGATGCGCTTTAAAAAGGGCTTGGAGACTATCGCTGAGTTGTTGATAATCAATAGATGCATGTTCCGACATTGTAAACTATGGTATTGTATTGGTTGGCGATAGAGGACGCAACCTACGTATCACGGGGACCGTAGGCGATAGACTGTAGTGCCAAGGAATACAACCTAGGCAGTAACGTAGACGTGGACGTAGACGTAAAGGTATGCTTTGACTATGGACTATGGGTGGCTCTACCTGGTATGATAAACCGATTAGAGCCCTATGACGTAGTGCGGACAAGAATAGTATTCGTGGAATAAATACAGAGGTTGCGTAAAGAAGAAAGAGAAGAAGGAAAACAAACAAAAGCACTAAACAACGCCCCCTTATATATCCACCCATAATCCAACGATGACTAATACCTTCGCGTAACAGAAACCCAAAGAACATAACAGAAGTCCCCATTACAAATCCTAATTCCACTACACAATACCTCCTTCCTTTATCCCAGTTCATCACCTAGCCGAAATACATAGCTGCCGTTACATGTCAACGTTATAGGGTTATCAATAACACATCCTCTAACTAACGTCTGAATTTCACAGCTCGCGCTCCCGCCATGAGTTGAACCCATAGCATTGATGACATGTATCAGATATTTACCACTAAGCTAAGTACCTTTGTTGCACCAGCAACTCTTTTGGACCCTAAATACCTTGCAAGTATTATTTTTTATTTTTTATTTTTTTTATTTTTTATTATTATTTTTTTTTTTTATATCTAATTTAATATAATATTTCCGCTGCCTAAATTGCGCACACAACTCGCGGTCGCGAGGTGGCCCACCCCTAGTAGCAATGTACTAGGCTGAGCTAGGGTATCACGATATCACATGACCTAGTCCGACCTGATTCTTGGCAGGGTTTAGTCAGATCATCGAGCCCATTCCAAATACCGACTCATGCACCAAAGCGCCAAACCTCGAGTTTAAGATTCACATATCATAAAGAATCTTAGGAACCTAGAGATCTCAGGAAATATGGGTAACGACGGAGGAAGGTAAGACTTACCATGTGCTTGTTGCCTTTGGGTTGGAAAGCGGGCTGACACTGCTACCTCTAAAGCATTCCTACACGTCGCGAGCTTGTCAAGTCCCCTACTCGCCGCGCCACCCACTCTCAACTCCGTGATTCCAATGCTCAAACTCAAGAATATCACTGGAGCACTTGCCCTCTCTCAAAGCGTCCACTCGCCTCCCCGGTTGTCTCCGACTCCTCGGGGCGTCTCTACAATAAAGATTCAATTCTAGAATGGCTCCTACGCGGAACAGAGGCATTTGGTGACGGTGAAGAGGTATTAGACGGGCGGGTAAAGAGTTTAAGAGATGTCCTAGAAATAAAATTCGACATTTCAAAGGAAGATGGTCAGGACAAGTGGGTTTGTCCAGTGTCGAGGAAAGGTCTCGTGGCTGGAGTCAGAGCGGTTTACCTGGTACCATGTGGGCATGCCTTTTTGGAGAGTGCGATCAAGGAGGTTAAGGGAAGTGAAGGCGTTTGTTTACAGGTTTATCTCCCCAGAATAATCATTCTATGCAAAACTAACCATGCCTGGTGAACTAGTGTGGCACAGCATACGAGGCAGATAATGTCATTCCTATTAACCCCGTGTTGGACGAAGATGCCCAAAGTTTGAGAAACCGAATCAAAGTTCTTTCGGAGAAGGGACTAGGACACACATTGAGAAGACTATCCGATGGGAAATCGAAGAAGCGAAAGAAGGAATCCAAAGAAGCCGAGAAGCTACTTAAGAAAGAAGAAACCGGTATAAAGAACGCCGCAACAGCCAGTTTAACAAGCAAAGTACTGGAGGATGAGAAAATGAAGAATAAACGCAGAAAAACAGAGATGAGCGACAACTTGAAGAGTCTTTTCAGTACAAAGGAGCAAGATGGTGCTTCGGGAAGGAATGATTTCATGAGTAGAGGGTATACTATACCAACGAAGCGATGAATACTCTCGATACATAACTATATGTGTATGCCTCTGAGTTGGCCTTTCGGGGTTTTAGGGTTGTTTTCGGCTTCTTAATCCTTTACCTGGGTACATACTCTACTTGTAATGATGGAAGATCAGTTGCGAACTGGTACACTAAACCACAGATCAATTTGCTTATGGTTGTATAATGTCATAACGTACTTGTAAATCATATATTATCAGTCATGTCTAGCTATCATTGTCAATATGCACTTATAGGGAGGCGCGTTACAGCCGAGAAGTGCAAAAAATAAGCCATAGATTTATAAGGACATTTTCGATATCCCATCGATCGTGCAATTGTAACTTTACCCTCCAGCGCGTTGGGTTTGCCCTTCGTTTCCCTAGTTTAAGTGACTGTATTTTGTGAATGCCCACTCTTGAGGATTGTGGGAAGTGCTACAGGAGACAGATGAATAGAACAGATTTTCGCTTCATTTGCACTCATCATTCACTTCTTGCCTGCCTGCCTGCCTGCCTGCCTGCCTGCCTGCCTGCCTGCCTGCCTGCCTGCCTGCCTGCCTGCCTGCCTGCCTGCCGGCCTGCCTGCCGCCGGCCTGCCTGCCGGCCTGCCTGCCGGCCTGCCTGCCTGCCGGCCTATTTACCTTTTGTAAAAAGATGTCTATCTCCGCTACCTTCTCTGATGCACCTGCTGCATCCCCAACACAGCCGAAGTCGTAATTAGTGGGGTATAGAATTATTTGGACGCGCATCCGGTGTTTTGTATGTGGAACCCGCAGTTAGACTTAAATGGCACCGGATTTTAAGAAATGATCTGGTGGGTGTCCGGTAGACTCAGAGTATCCGGTGAGAATCTGGAGCATCTGGGCAGTTAGTATATTAGCGTAAAAACAGAATTCCATCCTATAATAAATACATATTACATTCGTATTCACAACCTACAATTACGAATATTTATTTATCATTATATCCAGAAATGGTGATTGAGAAACTAAACATGATGGTACAGTGGCAGACAGTCAAACCCGACCACGCCAACAACAATTACCACCAAAATTGCTACCGATCCGCAACTCTACCACAGTGATCTAAACTATTAATCCTGTTGTATAATTATTGTAATAAAGGTTCTCATAAAATATACTGAGGGCTTTAAAAGATAAATCAAGTTTGAGGTCACTAGGGGCGCCCTAAGTATTGGTATTTTGTATGGTGCCGGGTTGAGAAAAAACCCAAAATATTCCAAAAACAGGACATAATCGAGTGATATTTCATGATAACAGGGGTAGGTAGGAATCCGTTTGCTGTTCTATAGTGGCGCCCCTGAGTCATACTTGCCTGCCTGATGAAGCTTTCCGAAAAGATTGTTTGTAGGAATCCGTTTGCTCCCGAGTAAAGAAAAATGGAAATTATCTTCGTATTCTGGCGGAAAAGTAGACGATAGCAGCATCTTAGCCGATTCATCAAACCGTTCAACATTTCAATCAAAAACAACCCTCCCGCCAAAGATGGTTTCAGCAAAAAGAAAGCTACAGTTATTGAAAAGTAGAGAAGGAAAACAAAACCTAAAGCATGAAGCTAAAGTTTTTCAAAATTCAGGAATGATATTTGATATTTCTTCAAGCTTTGGGAGTGTTACGGGCATGCCAAGCATTTACGAAAGTAAGAGAAAGGCTAGTAGATAACCCCAATACCCTTTAAAAACACTAACTGGAACATCACAATCAATTCCGGTTCGTACCTATGAGGTACGGTGCGATCGATATGCGACCAAATGCGGAGTTGCGGTTTTCCTAGTTAAAAAACAGGTTTTCGACCCCAATAATAACCCCCGGAGCATCAAACCGCCGGAGGGGAGTGCTTTTGGACCGGTGGATATATGAGGGACAGCTGGAAGCAATCGGATCGAAGATCGGACCACTCAGAGCGGATCGGCGCAAGCTACCAGCCTGTAATGGGGGTTCTTTCTAAGAGAAATAGAATCGGATAGAATAGAGACGGCCATGCAAGATAGACAATCAGGTTGCAGATTATTCAAAGATACTGTCGCTAGAGCTCAATAATCTTTAAGGGCTCTGTGTGAGGGATGCGTACCAGACCACAAGAGTACACTACGCAGAGCTCAGAGTTCGGCTAACAGCTACAAAGGTAGAAGTCTCCAAGGTCTCTTCAGTCAACGTCGAGTATGAATCTCCTTGATCCGATACGGGCCCCGCGAGCTACGTTATCAACAAAGATTCACTAGAGTTAGCGTATGATGCTTGGACCGTCTTCGAGGTAATAGTTCAGGTAGAGTTCGAAGTCACGATAGAGTAAAGTATTTCCAAAAGTATAGTCAAATAAAGTTGTAACTCGCGTATCAACGATTTATATTGTTAAGACTCTGATTTCACCGATGATGGTTTGGCTAGTCAGTGAATGACACAGTATTTATATCCCTCGCTTATGTCTCGAGGACCCAGTCTACTAATAATACAGAATACACTCGGGGCCTGCCCGAGACCCTGAAAAACAACCAAGAACATTTAACTCCTAAGTCCGTAACCCAAACTCCTAAACCCGCTGAAAACCCCTCAACCTATTTACCCACTCTAATGCACGTTTCCCTGTCGATGTTTCTTCTCCATCGGCCGTCTGGTGGATAATCATCAGCGTCGGCTACTCGTAGGTCTCGGACGGCAAGGCTACCTACTCAGGCCTCTTCCCACATCGCTTTCCCACATAGCAGAGTCCTCTCATGCCCATAGGTACCGCCGATTGGTACTCGGTCGGCTGGTAGCTTGCGCCGATTCGCTCCGAGTGATCCGATCTGCGATCCGATTGCTTCCAGCTGTCCCTCATATATCCATCGGTACCAAAGCACTCCCCTCCGGCGGTTTGACGCTCCGGGAGTTATTATTGGGGTCGAAAATGTGTTTTTTATGACTCCGTATTTTGGTCGTATATTGGTCGCACCACACCCCGCGGGTGCGGTCCAGAGTTGAGGTTAGCGTGCAGAGGGTATTGGGGTATCTACTAGCCTTTTTCTCGTAAATGCTTGGCATGCCCGTAACAGCTTACCCCCCTTCCAGGGTGTCACGTCTCGGGACATCTTCTGACAGACTATGGTTCCTGTAACGGGGGTCCTTTCTAAGAGAAATAGAATCGGATAGAATAGAGACGGCCGTGCAAGATAGACAATCAGGTTGCAGATTATTCAAAGATACTATCGCTAGAACTCAATAATCTTTAAGGGCTCTGCTACCGATAAGAACTTGGGCTTTCTTTCTGATGAAGACTCGAGAGAATAGGACTGAAGGGCGGGAATGAACCTGAGTACTTATACTCCCAAGGCCTCTATTCTCTGCTCCTGACTCCTTACTAAGTTCCGGTGAAGCCTTTCCTCGGTGCCGGAAGCAATACCACCGCTACCCCGCTTTTCTCTAAGCGTCAGCAGGTGTTTCCGATACCCAAGGCAACCACCCTTAGTCAAAGCCTTTGTAACACCTGCAGCCTTGATTGCCACACAACCGGGGCCTGCATGAATGAGCTGCCGCTCAGGTGTAAGCTTAATCATTGCTGTAGAGCTTTCGCTTATTGTAGACTTCCCTAGCATAGTCTCTGCCCCTTCGGCGGACTCACAATGCTTAGAGGATACAGAGGATCACCGGGCAATCAGAGCTTCACTCTGGCCGGTCTTCTAGTCACTGGCGAGGCATAGACTCGTCAGTCATTGCTCCCGTGAATAGATCCCCTTCCTAGCGCCCGGAATGTAGTTACTCTAACAGCTGGTAGCTAACCACACTGCCGGTACTTGCATATCAGCGTGCAACTGGCTTCTAACAATAACTCTCAGCATGTAATCGGGCCCTGTGTGTACTCATACACCAGACAGTTGAAATGGCTCCGTTACACCACTCCCCTCTTCCAGGATCTTGGTCTCCGAGATCTATAAACATTCTATTACCATCCATTCTATGTGACAAGAAATTCCGTGATATGCAAGGAAAGAAAATCTAAAGGAAGAACTACACCCCAACAATCCGCTTGTCTTTGGGTTTCTTAGGATACCTCATATGGAAATCCCGAAGGGCTTCTTCAGCACTCTTCTTGAGATGCTCGTAAGGTTCCCATGTAGCATCCTCGTTCTCATAACCTTCCCACAGCACTAGGTATTCCACTCGTCTCCTCTTCTTATTGACCCGGCTATCAGCCACTTCTCGGACAACCCAGTTCTGTTCTCCTTCAATCTCTTCGGGTTCCGGTAGCGGAACTCTTCTCTCAGGATCTACCTGTGAGGGATGCGTACCAGACCACAAGAGTACACTACGCAGAGCTCAGAGTTCGGCTAACAGCTACAAAGGTAGAAGTCTCCAAGGTCTCTTCAGTCAACGTCGAGTATGAATCTCCTTGATCCGATACGAGCCCCGCGAGCTACGTTATCAACAAAGATTCACTAGAGTTAGCGTATGATGCTTCGACCGTCTTCGACGTAATAGTTCAGGTAGAGTTCGAAGTCACGATAGAGTAAAGTATTTCCAAAAGTATAGTCAAATAAAGTTGTAACTCGCGTATCAACGATTTATATTGTTAAGACTCTGATTTCGCCAATGATGGTTTGGCTAGTCAGTGAATGACACAGTATTTATATCCCTCGCTTATGTCTCGAGGACCCAGTCTACTAATAAGACAGAATACACTCGGGGCCTACCCAAGACCCTGAAAAACAACCAAGAACATTTAACTCCTAAGTCCGTAACCCAAACTCCTAAACCCGCTGAAACCCCTCAACCTATTTACCCACTCTAATGCACGTTTCCCTGTCGATGTTTCTTCTCCATCGGCCGTCTGGTGGATAATCGTCAGTGTCGGCTGTTCGGAGGTCTCGGATGGCAAGGCTACCTACTCAGGCCTCTTCCCACATCGCTTTCCCACATAGCAGAGTCCTCTCATGCCTACAGGAACCGCCAACAGGTACTCGGTCGGCTGGCAGCCCCCGCCGATTCGCTCCGGGTGGTCCGATCTTCGATCCGATTGATTCCAGCTGTCCCTCATATATCCACCGGTCCAAAAGCACTCCCCTCCGGCGGTTTGACGCTCCGGGGGTTATTATTGGGGTCGAAAACATGTTTTTTACGACTCCGTGTTTTGGTTGTATATTGGTCGCAACATACCTCGTGGGTGCGGCCCAGAGTCGACATTAGCATTCCGAAGATATTGGGGTATCTACTAGCCTTTTCTCTCACTCCCGTAAATAGTTGACATGCCCGTAACACTCTGCTACCGATAAGAACTTGGTTTTCTTTCCAATGAAGACTGGAGAGAACCAGACTGAAGGGTGGGAATGAACCTGAGTACTTATACTCCGAAGGCTTCTATTCTCTACTCCCTCCTCCTTACTAAGTTTCTGTGAAGCTTTTCTTTGGTCCCGGAAACAATACCACCGCTACCCCACTTTTCTCTTAGCGTCAGCAGGTGTTTCCGATACCCAAGGCAACCACCCTTAGTCAAAGCCTTTGTAACACCTGCAGCCTTGGTTGCCACACAACCGGGGCCTGCATGAATGAGCTGCCGCTCAGATGTAATCTTAATTATTGCTGTAGAGCTTTTGCTTATTGTAGACTTCCCTAACATAGTCCCTGCCCTTCGGCGGACGTACAATGCTTCAGAGGATACAGAGGATCACCGGGCAATCAGAGCTTCACTCTGGTCAGCCTTCTATTCACTGGCGAGGCATAGACTCGTCAGTCATTGTTCCCATGAATAGATCCTCTTCCTAGCGCCCGGAAGGTAGTTACTCTAACAGCTGGTAGCTAACCACACTGCCAGTACTTGCATATCACCATGCAACTGGCTTCTAACAATAACTCTCAGCATGTCGCCGGGCCCTGTGTGCACTCATACACCAGACAGTTGAAATGGCTCCGTTACACTAGCCCAGATCCCCTACTCCAGGGAGGACCCTTTACACACACTAGGCAATCGAGTAAACGCTCTGCTCAAGCCCAGTTCGTGAGGAATATGCAGGAGTTTTTGGATACCTATGAGGCACAAATGAGGTATCTTGGTACGGCAGGACAGGCAATGTGGCAGTAGCTACAAAACCTGCAGGAACAAGTGCAAGGGGGTGGACAGGTCCTTGATAAGAAAGTACGACAAGAAGCCATTGCACAAAAGCAACATCTTGAATCGCTCTTTAAGCTCGTCGCAAATGTTCGACGAGTACAAGAAGGTGCACGAGCCGCCGACCACGAGGTTCTGGAACGTAATCATCAGAATACCCAGACCCAGCTATTGGAGGCGGAATGACAACTGAGCGTTGTAAAAGAAGAGCGGGAGCAGGAAAAAAGGGAACAACGGGAGCTGTTTGCGCAATTCAAGCAGTCCGATGAAGCAAGAAACCAACGGATAGCAGAGATGGAGGAACGACTACGACAACATTTGTCAGTAGCACCTTCCATGGTTAGTGCTCCCGTAGATCCTACCGCACCCCAAACGGTTCCTGTTGGCAATGGCAAGAACCCCGAAAATGCTGGCCCTGTTACGGTCATGCCAAGCATTTACGGGAGTGAGAGAAAGGCTAGTAGATACCCCAATACCCTCTGATATTAATGGCAACACCACTATCAACTCCGGTTCGCACCCACGAGGTGCGGTGCGATCAATATGCGACCAGATGCGGAGTTGCGGTTTTCCTAGTTAAAAAACACGTTTTCGACCCCAATAATAACCCCCGGAGCGTCAAACCGCCGGAGGGTAGTGCTTTTGGACCGGTGGATATATGAGGGACAGCTAGAAACAATCGGATCGAAGGTTGGACCACCCGGAGCAAATCGGCGCAAGGTACCAGCCGACCGAGTACCTATCGGCGGTACCTGTGGGCATGAGAGGACTCTGCTATGTGGGAAAGCGATGTGGGAAGAGGCCTGAGTAGGTAGCCTTGCCGTCCGAGACCTCCAAATAGCCGATTCTGACGATTATCCACCAGACAGCCGATGGAGAAGAAACATCGACAGGGAAACGTGCATTAGAGTGGATAAATAGGTTGAGGGGTTTCTGCGGGTTTAGGAGTTTGGGTTACGGACTTAGGAGTTAAATGTTCTTGGTTGTTTTTCAGGGTCTCGGGCAGGCCCCGAGTGTATTCTGTACTATTAGTAGACTGGGTCCTCGAGACATAAGCGAGGGATATAAATACTGTGTCATTCACTGACTAGCCAAACCATTATCGGCGAAATCAGAGTCTTAACAATATAAATCGTTGATACGCGAGTTACAACTTTATTTGACTATACTTTTGAAAATACTTTACTCTATCGTGACTTCGAACTCTACCTGAACTATTACGTCGAAGACGGTCGAATATCGTACGCTAACTCTAGTGAATCTTTGTTGATAACGTAGCTCGCGGGGCCCGAATCGGATCAGGGAGATTTATACTCGACGTTGACTGAAGAGACCTTGGAGACTTCTACCTTTGTAGCTGTTAGCCGAACTCTGAGCTCTGCATAGTGTACTCTTGTGGTCTGGTACGCATCCCTCACAGGCCCCCAAACATCAGGGAACGGTAAGCAATCAGTAGGAGGAAATGGAGGTAAGCAACCGGAGGACGCCGGCCCAGTGCAGGGAAATAGTGGAAGGCGACCGGCAGGAGCTGCTCCAGTAGGAGGGAATGGTGGAAATCAACCTCCCCGGAACCCACCAGGAGGAAACTTTGGGGGAGACCCAGAACCTTCCGACGACGGTGACGACGATAATAGCGAATGGTCGCACGGTAGGAAGAACTGGAGAATGAACCGAGGCGGGAACCGGAATTCGGCGCCGCCTGAGGACGAGGATATGGTAGATTCGCTCGCCAAAATACCCTTCGAGTTCGATAACGCCCGGAAGCATAACCTGCGGCATTGGCTCATGGAGTGTGAGATCTACTTTGAGCAGAAGCCCAAGAAGTTCCGAACGGACAGGAACAAGGTACTTTTCGCTGGAACGTATACGTGTGGGTTGGCAAAGGAATGGTTTATGGAATATATCGAGACCAAGATGCTAGGCCCCGCAGCCGCGGACTATGCCACTTGGACTCGGTTCCGTCAGGAGATCAGAAAACGGTTCCTAAGCACTCAGGAAGCTATGGAGAACGCGATGAAGATGCAGCAGTTTAAGTACTCTGCTAATATCGGGGACTACCTGACGAGAATGGAGATCATGAACCAGCATGCTCAGATGAAAGGAGCATCCTATCGCGCCGCCTTGCTCCAAGGGCTACCAAATGAAATTCGGGAGCGCCACTCACGTTTCGATCCAACCGATGACGACTCCGAGTATATCCAACAGTTGGAACGAGCCGGTAAGGCCCATGAGGCTTATCAAGAGCAGATGAAGATGTTGGGGAAAGCAGAATCGAGAGGGAAGGAGTCGAACCATGGTGGGAACTCGCGGCAGAAGGAGAAGGGGTTTAAGATCAACGGAAGGGCTCAGACTGAGGAGAAGGAAAAAGGACAAGATAAGAAGAGCACCAGCAAGAATAAGTCTGGGAATAAACCAATATACCACGACTACGACGAAGCCACCAAAGGAGTTCCACAGCCGGTCAGAGACCAGCGAAAGACCGATGGTGTCTGCGTGCGATGTGGCCGAAAGGGGCATCTTTGGAAATGGTGTCGTTCGGATGCTAACAGTAGCGCATCTATCTCCTCTGTCTCCCGAAAGCGTACCCGCGATGACGATGGCGACCACGACATGGAACCACCGGAACCCCAACCTCAGAGAAAGCGAATGAGGCACCGTGCTAGGAAGCCGGCTGCTACGGCTGCTGCGGAGTACACCAGTGGGCAAGCGTTTGTACGAGAATGCGGATCGGAATCGGAAATGGACTTCGATATGGGTTTTTAGAAGGGGACTCTGATGAGTCAGGTCAGGAGTATCCCCAGATTGCTATGTTATCACTGACGGAAAACAACAAAAAAAATATGAAAAGAAAAAGGCAGGAAGGGAGAGGGTCCCAACCGGAGAAAAAACAGAAAATTTTGGAGGAACCCATTCACGGTCCTCGACCTATCGTTAATCAGTTCCTTTGTTTCGCGGGAAAAATGTTTACCTTGTAAGGTGTTGTTGGATACTGGTGCAACTGGTCCTGTTTTGTCTGCTGTTTTTGTTGATAGTTTTGAGGTCCCGAAGGTGAAACGAGACGTCCCGGCCCGGGTATTTGGATTTACGGGAGAAGTTATGAAGGGCACGGGACACCCCTTTACACAACCATTAATTATAATGTCAAGGGGGCATCAATGTAAAGAACCATGGGCGAGGCGGAAGCTGAGGGGTCGAGGGACATGATTAGGTTTCCTATAGGGAAGGATAGGCCTCGCGCGAGGGCGAGGGATAGTGCAATGGTATACCCGAAGGCAGGGACAGCGGTCTGTACAAGGACAGAGGAGAGGACAGTGACAAGGCCCGAGAAGGACGCGGCGAAGAACAGGAAGGCGGCGAAGATCATAACAGCGGATGCACAGGGCATGAGGGACAGCAGACGTAACGTGAACTGAGAGTAAAGTAATGTATTGAAGCGAAGTAAATCCCCCAAAGTAATAACCCAAAGTAGAATACAAGATGTTGCGTAAGGAAGGGAAAGAGAAGGACAACAGAAAACACCAACAACTCTTTATAGTAAGAAAATAGCAACCGATTACTAATCCCACGGAACCTTCCAGACTTCCTAATAACTCATACCTTTAATATAACAATATAGTTCATAACAGTTTAGCTCCTCCCCCCAAAGGGCGAGCTCCTGCGAGCAAACAAACAAAAACCATATAAGGAAAAAAAAAGAAACCAAAAGGAAAGAGAAGAATACTATAGCTAAGCAAATAAAGAAGACCAACACCGAGGAACATAAAATAAAACAATTTCATTTACCAAAGAAACCGAAAGCAATTTATAACTTCCCACGTGGGGTCCTCTTAGGGGCAAAGGCGGGTTTGGTGGGATACAGGGAGTGAAAACGTTGCAGCGACCCTAACTCCGCATCGAGGTTCCGGGCGGGTTCCCAAGTGGGTTGTTCGTAGCCTGTCCATTTAACCAGATATTGTAGTTGCCGATGACGTATCCTCGAGTCTAGCACCTCCTGCACTTCAAACTCCTCTTCCCCTTCGACAATTACCGGCGGTGGGGGTGGTTATACATGGCCAGGAAGAGGCTGCGTTCGGGCGGGTTCTAGTAGGGAGACGTGAAACACGGGATGGGACTTCATCGATGGGGGAAGCTCCAGTCGGTAGGCGTGAGATCCAATGCGCTCGAGTATTTTGAATTTCCCTAAGCGTTTATGGTCCAATTTGTCCGATGGTCGAGTAGTTCGTATGTGTTTTCGCGACAACCACACCAAATCCCCTACTTCTAGTCGTGGTTCAGGAAGTCGGGTGGTGTTGGCGCTATCGGCAGCGGCGGCTTGGGCGTACAGGATCTCGGATCGCAATGCGGTCTGTAGGGTGGTAATCGAGTTGGCAAATTCTACTACTTCCTTCGGCGTGGCTTCATGTCTTTCTTCGGCGGGTAGGATATCCAGTTGTGGATTATACCCGTAGTTGGCGAAGAAGGGACTAACCCCTAAGGGCTCCGTGGTGGCATTATTGTGCGCGAACTCTGCCAGCGGGAGGAATTCTGCCCAGTTGTCCTGTTGGTAGTTAACGTATCCCCGCAAGTACTGTTCCATAATTGCATTTACCCGTTCGGTCTGTCCATCGGTTTGTGGGTGGAAGGCGGTGCTGAATCGAGGTTTGATGTCCAATTGGTTGCACAATGCTTTCCAGAACTGCGAGGTAAAGGTCGTGCCCCTGTCCGATACTATATCCTTCGGCAGCCCGTGAGATTTCCAGACATATTGTAAGAATAAGCGGGCCAGTTCGGGGGCATCAGCCGTATCTCTAGTGGGGATGTAGTGGGCCATTTTGGTGAGTCTGTCGACAACCACGAGGATAGCGTTGGATCCTTGCGACTCTGGTAGGCCGGTAACGTGGTCCATTGACAACGAGGACCAGGGTTTAACTGGGGGAACGAGAGGTTTGAGGAGGCCATAAGGAGCGTGTCGGACCGGCTTGATCCGGGTACAAGTGTCGCAGTGGTTGTGAGGGATGCGTACCAGACCACAAGAGTACACTACGCAGAGCTCAGAGTTCGGCTAACAGCTACAAAGGTAGAAGTCTCCAAGGTCTCTTCAGTCAACGTCGAGTATGATTCTCCTTGATCCGAGACGGGCCCCGCGAGCTACGTTATCAACCAAGATTCACTAGAGTTAGCGTATGATGCTTCGACCGTCTTCGACGTAATAGTTCAGGTAGAGTTCGAAGCCACGATAGAGTAAAGTAATTTCAAAAGTATAGTCAATAAAGTTGTAACTCGCGTATCAACGATTTATATTGTTAAGACTCTGATTTCGCCGATAATGGTTTGGCTAGTCAGTGAATGACACGGTATTTATATCCCTCGCGTATGTCTCGAGGACCCAGTCTACTAATAATACAGAATACACTCGGGGCCTACCCAAGACCCTGAAAAACAACCAAGAACATTTAACTCCTAAGTCCGTAACCCAAACTCCTAAACCCGCTAAACCCCTCAACCTATTTACCCACTCTAATGCACGTTTCCCTGTCGATGTTTCCTCTCCATCGGCCGTCTGGTGGATAATCGTCAGCGCCGGCTACTCGTAGGTCTCGGACGGCAAAGCTACCTACTCAGGCCTCTTCCCACATCGCTTTCCCACATAGCAGAGTCCTCTCATGCCCATAGGTACCGCCGATAGGTACTCGGTCGGCTGGTGGCTTGCGCCGATTCGCTCCGAGTGATCCGATCTTCGATCCGATTGCTTCCAGCTGTCCCTCATATATCCACCGGTACCAAAGCACTCCCCTCCGGCGGTTTGACGCTCCGGGGGTTATTATTGGGGTCGAAAACGTGTTTTTTATGACTCCGTGTTTTGGTCGTATATTGGTTGCACCACACCCCACGGGTGCGGTCCAGAGTTGACATTAGCGTGCAGAGGGTATTGGGGTATCTACTAGCCTTTTCATAAATGCTTGGCATGCCCGTAACAGCTTACCCCCCTTCCAGGGTGTCATGTCTCGGGACATCTTCTGACAGACTATGGTTCCAGTAAACCTGCTCCACATATCACCCGCGGTGTCTGTGGAGGGGAAGGACTTAGCCCCATAGGGTACCTCTATAGTCTCAGGCGTCGGTCCTTCACGGCCTTGGGGTTCCTTCGATGAAAGTCGCAGACTAGGTCAAGTACCTCCTCATTCATCGCGTCCATAACTTGGTACGTACAGTCGCTCATCGAATAGCCCCGCCATTTCACCAGGTATTCCACTAATCCTCTTCTACTTTTCCGGCTTCCCACAATACTTTCCACTTCATACAGGACCTCTCCTTCCTTATCGACATCTTCGGGAGTCGGGGGACGTTGTTCACGGCCTGGGATACTGCTCTGTCGGTAACTTTCCAAGAGTTCAATGTGGAAGACGTTGTGGATTTTGACTTGTGGTGGCAGTTCCAATTCGCAGGCTCGTTTTCCGGCTAGTCGGATGATTTTGAACGGGCCGAGTTTCTTATGATCGAGTTTCTTGGTAGAGCGACGTGTCTTAATATTGGTCGCGTTGAGCATAACCATGTCTCCCACCTTGAAGTTAGGCGGTTCGTCCCTTTTCCGATCATAGTATTTTCCCATCTTTTCCCTGGTGTCTGTCAAACGAGCGAGAGCAGAATTGTGGACTCCTCGGATGAAGTGGGCATACAGGTCACTGGTTGGGTTGACCACTTCGGCTTCCGTCGGCCAGTTGGTTCTTGGGTTATAACCGTAATTGGTATAGAACGGAGATTGGCCCGTGGCGGTGGTAACCGAGTTGTTGTAAGCATACTCCGCCAATGGGAGTAGCTCTGCCCAATCATCTTGCTCGTAGTTGCAGAATGCTCGTAGATAATGCTCGAGGGTTTGGTTGACTCGCTCTGTTTGCCCATCGGTCTGAGGGTGGAAAGCCGTACTCATTCTTATCCTCACGTCCAATAATTCCATAAGGGATGCCCAAAAGCTTGAAGTAAACTTGGCGTCCCTGTCGGAAACTATATCAAAAGGCAGCCCATGGAGTCGCCAGATTTGACCGAGGAATATCTTCGCTAAATCCTGCGCGGGTCGTTTCTGCTACTAGGGGAATAAAGTGCGACATCTTCGAGAACCTATCGACTACTACCCAAATTTGGTTATATCCCTTTGATTCCGGTAATTGCACGACGAAGTCCATTGATATCGATTGCCAGACAGAATGTGGCGTGGACAATGGTAGAAGCGCACCATATTTCTTATGGCGGCTGGGTTTGTTGCGCTGGCACTCATCACATGACCGAACGTAATCATCAATCCACTCGTTCATTTTTGGCCAGTAGAAGTTGCGCATAATAAGTTCCAAAGTTTTGTCTTGTCCAAAGTGTCCTGCCACCTTTGAGTCGTGTTCTGCCTGCGCGATTCGGATCTTAATACGGTCATCTGCCGGAATGTAGAGTCGGTTCTTATAGAAGAGTAGCCCATCTTTCTCTGCGATATCCTTCATTTCCCCCAGCTTCTCTCCCTGCTCAATTCTCTCTTTCAATCCTACCCATGTCGGGTCTCCCGATGCCGCCTGCCTGACATGATCCAGAAAGTTCTTAGACCAGTCAATCACCCCCTTGGAGGCAAGCGACACCGCTGATACCACAAACTCTTCCTCCGCCAACTGTCCGGGCTTAAAGAACCTGTCTATCGGCTGTTTCCCAAGCGTGCCTCCCCCTTCAGGACGGTACTCCGGCCGTCGCGATAGTGCATCTACCTTCCCATTTTTGGTTCCCGGGCGGTAAATAATCTTGAAATCAAATTCCGCCAAAGACTCAGCCCACCTTGCCTGTCGTCGGTTAAGAACCTTGGTTGTAGAGAAGTACTCTAAGTTCTTGTGATCCGTATAGACGAGGACCGTTCGGCTAGGTCCTTCGAGGTAGTGACGCCATTGCTTGAAGGCTGACACAATTCCTAGCATCTCCTTATCCCAGACGTCGTAGTTAAGTTCCGCTGGGTTAAGCTTTCGAGAATAAAAGGCAACAGGGTGAGTCTTTCCGTCAATAACCTGGGATAGAATTGCGGCGATAGCAAAATCACTTGCGTCCGTTTCCACGATAGTCTGGCGATCTGGAGAGAAATGTACCAAGATCGGCGCAGATGTAAACAGGGTTTTGAGTTTTTCGAAGGCTGCTTGGGCCGTCATAGACCAGACAAAGTTCTTAGCATCACCCCTGAGACAATCGGTAATGGGTTTACAGACCCCGGAGAAATTGTGGATAAACCTTCTGTAGAAGTTGGCAAAGCCCATGAAGATCTGTACTTCTTTAACGCTGCGCGGGGCTTGCCAATTCGTAACAGACATAACCTTATCCAGTGCCATGGTGACGCCTGCTGGGGCAAGGATGTATCCGAGAAACTCGATTTCGGTGAGCTCGAAGAACGATTTCTTCGGGTTGGCGATCAGGTTGTATTCTTGTAGCCTGCTAAGTACTTTGCCTACCAGCTCCCTGTGTTCCTCTCGAGACTTGCTATATATTAGGATATCATCGAGATATACTACTACACCTTGATCCAAGAATTCCCTCAGCGCATCATTCATCATATTCTGGAAGGTCGCCGGCGCATTTGCCAGCCCAAAAGGCATAACGAGGTACTCAAATGCCCATACCGCGTACGGAAGGCTGTCTTCCACTCGTCGCCGTCTTTAATCCTGATGAGGTTGTAGCCTTCCTTCAGGTCAATCTTCGAGAAGATAACCGCGCCTGCTACTCGATCTCGCAGTTCGTCCATAAGCGGTAAGGGATACCTGTTCTTGATGGACACACGGTTAAGTCCACGGTAGTCAACGCAAAGTCGGAGACTACCGTCCTTCTTCTTCACAAATAGGATTGGGGCTCCTGCCGGGGATTTGCTCGGCCTAATCTTTCCCAATCGCAACATTTTGTCCAGGTACTCCCGAAGCACCTTCAGCTCGACTTCGGATAGGGAGTAAACGGGTCCCCATGGTGGCTGCTTCCCTGGTTCGAGATCTATCGCATGGTCGTAAGATCGATGCGGTGGTAATTTGTCTGATTCCGATGGTAGGAAGACTTTAAGGAACCCATGGAGCCAAGAGGGAAGAGTTTCGCGGAGGTTGACCGATTCATCTTCCAAAAGGCAAATGCTACCGATGAATTGGGCCTCCGGATCGTCCAATACACCCTCGTCCATTTCTATTTAAGGTTCCTTGTCAGTGAAGCATCGACTCTTGCAGTTCTCACCATCGTAGGAAACTTCCCCATTCGCCCCTATAACCGGTTTGTATTCTTTCAACCACCAGTTCGGTAGTATCGCATCGATACCAAGTGGGAGAGGGGCGATTTCGAATGACAACTGTGTTTGATGCCCCCTTGACATTATAATTAATGGTTGTGTAAAGGCGTGTCCCGTGCCCTTCATAACTTCTCCAGTAATCCAAATACCCCGGGCCGGGACATCTCGTTTCACCTTCGGGACCTCAAAACTATCAACAAAAACAGCAGACAAAACAGGACCAGTTGCACCAGTATCCAATAACACCTTACAAGGTAAACATTTTTCCGCAAAACAAAGGAACTGATTAACGATAGGTCGAGGACCGTGAATAGGTTCCTCTAAAATCTTCTGTTTTTTCTCCGGTTGGGACGTTCTCCCTTCCTGCCTTTTTCTTTCATATTTTTTTTGTTGTTTTCCGTCAGTGATAACATAGCAATCTGGGGATACTCCTGACCTGACTCATCAGAGTCCCCTACTGAAAATCCATATCGAAATCCATCTCAGACTCCGATCCGCGTTCTCGTACAAACGCTTGCCCACTGGTGTACTCCGCAGCAGCCGTAGCAGCTGGCTTTCTAGCACGGTGCCTCATTCGCTTTCTCTGAGGTTGGTGTTCCGGTGGTTCCATATCGTGGTCGCCATCGTCATCGCGGGTACGCTTTCGGGAGAAAGAGGAGATAGATGCACTGCTATTAGCATCTGAACGACACCACTTCCAAAGATGACCCTTTCGGCCACATCGCACACAGACTCCATCGGTCTTTCGCTGTTCTCGGACTGGCTGTGGAATTCCTTTGGTGGCTTCGTCGTAGTCGTGGTATATTGGCTTATTCCCCGACTTGTTCTTGCTGGTGCTTTTCTTTTCTTGCCCCTTTTCTTTCTCCTCAGTCTGAGCCCTCCCCTTGATCTTAAACCCCTTCTCCTTCTGTCGCGAGTTCCCACCATTGTTCGACTCTCTTCCTCTTGACTCCGCTTTCCCCAACATCTTCATCTGCTCTTGATAAGCCTCGTGAGCCTTGCCGGCTCGTTCCAACTGTTGGATGTACTCGGAGTCGTCATCGGTTGGGTCGAAGCGTGAGTGGCGCTCCCGGATTTCATTTGGTAGCCCTTGGAGCAGGGCGGCGCGATAGGATGCTCCTTTCATTTGAGCATGCTGGTTCATGATCTCCATTCTCGTCAGGTAGTCCCCGATGTTAGCAGAGTACTTAAACTGCTGCATCTTCATCGCGTTTTCCATAGCCTCCTGAGTGCTTAAGAAGCGTTTCCTGATCTCCTGACGGAACCGAGTCCAAGTAGCGTAGTCCGCGGCTGCCGGTCCTAGCATCTTGGTCTCGATATATTCCATAAACCATTCCTTTGCCAACCCACACGTATACGTCCCAGCGAACAGTACCTTGTTCCTATCCGTTCGGAACTTCTTGGGCTTCTGCTCGAAGTAGATCTCGCACTCCATGAGCCAATGCCGCAGGTTATGCTTCCTGGCATTATCGAACTCAAAGGGTATTTTGGCGAGCGAATCTGCCATATCGTCGTCTTCAGGCGGCGCCGAATTCCGGTTTCCGCCTCGGTTCATTCTCCAATTCTTCCGACCGTGCGACCATTCACTGTTATCGTCGTCATCGTCGTCGGAAGGTTCTGGATCTCCCCCAAAGTTTCCTCTTGGTGGGTTTCGGGGAGGTAGATTTCCACCATTCCCTCCTACCGGAGCAGTTCCTACCGGTCGCCTGCCACTGTTTCCCTGCACTGGGCCGGCGTCCTCCGGTTGCTTGCCTCCGTTTCCACCAACTGGGCCTGCTTCTTCTGGTTGCTTGCCATTCCCTGATGTTTGGGGGCCAGCATTTTGGGGGTTCTTGCCATTGCCAACAGGAACCGTTCGGGGTGCGTTAGGGTCTAAGGGAGCACTAGCCACGGAAGGTGCTACTGACAGATGTTGTCGCAGTAGTTCCTCCATCTCGGCTATCCGTTGGTTTCTTATCTCATCAGACTGCTTGAACTGCGCAAACATAGCCCGTTGTTCCCCTTTCTCCTGCTCCCGCTCTTCTCGTACCATCCTCAGCTGTCGCTCCGCTTCCAACAGTTGGTTCTGGGTAATCCGATGGTTGCGGTCCAGAACCTCGTGGTCGGCGGCTCGTGCGGTTTCTTGCATTTGTTGGACATGGGTGACGAGCTCAAAGAGCGACTCGAGATGTTGTTTTTGGGCAATGGCTTCTTGCCGTACTTTCTTATCCAGGATTTGTCCACTCCCTTGGACTTGCTCCTGGAGGTTTTGTAGCTGCTGCCAAACGGCCTGTCCAGCTGCACCAAGATACCTCATTTGTGCCTCATGGGTATCCAAAAACTCCTGCATATTTCTCACGAACTGGGCTTGAGCAGAACGTTTACTCGATTGCCTAGTTTGTGTGGAGGGTCCTCCCGTAAGTAGGGGATCTGGGCTAGCAGCCCTCGATATTACCATAGAATCTTCCCCCCGGCCTCCTCGGTTACAGCCGAGGTATCTATGAAATAATTATCCCTTCGGGTAGTCATTGTGATAGGGGATAATGATGATAGTTCTTTTTTTTTTTGAGGTGACTTCGTTACTCCAAGTGAACTTGTGAGTAACAATATACTGTGAGGGATGCGTACCAGACCACAAGAGTACACTACGCAGAGCTCAGAGTTCGGCTAACAGCTACAAAGGTAGAAGTCTCCAAGGTCTCTTCAGTCAACGTCGAGTATGATTCTCCTTGATCCGATACGGGCCCCGCGAGCTACGTTATCAACCAAGATTCACTAGAGTTAGCGTATGATGCTTCGACCGTCTTCGACGTAATAGTTCAGGTAGAGTTCGAAGCCACGATAGAGTAAAGTAATTTCAAAGTATAGTCAATAAAGTTGTAACTCGCGTATCAACGATTTATATTGTTAAGACTCTGATTTCGCCGATAATGGTTTGGCTAGTCAGTGAATGACACGGTATTTATATCCCTCGCGTATGTCTCGAGGACCCAGTCTACTAATAATACAGAATACACTCGGGGCCTACCCAAGACCCTGAAAAACAACCAAGAACATTTAACTCCTAAGTCCGTAACCCAAACTCCTAAACCCGCTAAAAACCCCTCAACCTATTTATCCACTCTAATGCACGTTTCCCTGTCGATGTTTCCTCTCCATCGGCCGTCTGGTGGATAATCGTCAGCGCCGGCTACTCGTAGGTCTCGGACGGCAAAGCTACCTACTCAGGCCTCTTCCCACATCGCTTTCCCACATAGCAGAGTCCTCTCATGCCCATAGGTACCGCCGATAGGTACTCGGTCGGCTGGTGGCTTGCGCCGATTCGCTCCGAGTGATCCGATCTTCGATCCGATGCTTCCAGCTGTCCCTCATATATCCACCGGTACCAAAGCACTCTCCTCCGACGGTTTGACGCTCCAGGGGTTATTATTGGGGTCGAAAACGTGTTTTTATGACTCCGTGTTTTGGTCGTATATTGGTCGCACCACACCCCGCGGGTGCGGTCCAGAGTTGACGTTAGCGTGCAGAGGGTATTGGGGTATCTACTAGCCTTTTCATAAATGCTTGGCATGCCCGTAACAGTGGTCTACGTAGCGGCAACGTACTTTCGCATTTGGGGCCAGTAATAGTTCCGTGACAGAAGTTCCAGCGTGCGGGCGCGTCCAGGGTGTCCGGCCGAAGGTGCGTCGTGGTTGGTGCGGAGGATCTCCAACTTAATAGTAGCATCATCGGGTATATATAGTAGGCCCTGATAGTACAGTAACCCATCCTTAATTGCACATTCCCCGATAGGAAGAAAACGAGAGTGTTTCTTCCTGGCGATAATATCCTTCATCAATTGTTTGGACAGCGGTCATTGGCTAAAGCAGCCTGCAGTTCCTCGTGACGGGCGGGTGATACCTTAGCGGGTTTGGGGACTTTTAGTACGGCGGCTAGACGGAGGTTCTTAGGCTTGAGTATAACCTGATGCTGTTGGGTCAGTCTTTCATCCCCTTCCTTAGGGAGATCTCCAGATCGACGTGTGAGGGCATCAGGTTTCCCATTTTCGTACCCGGTCGGTAGGTAACCACAAAGTTGAAGGAAGACAGCGTTAGGGACCAGCGAGCTTAGCGACGGTTTAAGAATCTTCGTAGACATAAAATATTCCAGGTTCTTGTGGTCGCAGTATACCGTGATCTCCTGGTTGCTTGGTTCCAGTACTTTCGCCATTCCTCAAACGCACGGACAATCGCCAGCAGCTCCTTGTCATAGATGTCGTAGTTTGCATTCGGCTGGTGTCCTCTTATGATAGTAGAAGGCCACTGGGTGTAGGATTCCTTGGTCGTCTTTCTGGGAGAGTACGGCGGCCCGCGACAAAATCAGAGGCATCGGTTTCCAATATGCAGGCCCTTTCGGGGTCGAAATGCTTCAGTATTGGTGCCGTGGTGAAAGCTTCTTTTAGTTGATTGAGGCGTGGTCCGCGGCGGTGGTCCATACAAACTGGGTATCCTTCTTTAGCAGTTTTGTCATCGGGATCCACTTTGGAGTAATCGCGGATGAATCTCGGATAGAAATTTGCGAATCCCAAAAAGACCTGTATGTCGTGTACCGAGGTAGGTGTTTTCCACTCCTGTATCGCCTTAGTTTTATCGGTAGCCATGGTAACCCTTCGCCCGATATGATGTACCCTAATACTCAGTACGATCGACGTGGAACTCGCACTTCTCAGGTTTGCAGTGGAGCCCCGCCGCTTGTATTTGTCCAGGATGGTGTTGACGTGTTGCTGGTGTTCCTCCTGTTTTCGAGTAGATCAGAATGTCGTCGAGGTACACCGTGCAGAAGTCCTCGAGGTAGGTCCGGAGGGTGTCGTTCATAAAAGCTTGGAAGGTGGCGGTGCGTTGGTGAGTCCGAAGGGCATTACCAATATTCAAACAGTCCATACCGAGTCCGGAAAGCGTTTTTCCATTCCTCCCCTTCCTTTATCCTTATCTGATTGTACCCATTGCGGAGATCCAGTTTAGTATAGATCTTGGCGTCCTTGAGTCTATCCAGGTGTCGTTGATCAGTGGCAGTGGGTAGCGGTTCTTGACCGTGAGGGCATTGAGGCGCGATAATCCACACATTCGTAGGGAGCCATCCTTTTTCTTGATGATAGGACGGGGGCTCCAGCGGGAGAGGAAGAAGAGCGTATATAACCTCGAGTCAGTTGGTCATCAAGATATTCCCGAAGGGTCTTCAACTCTTCTGACGACATGCCGTATAATGGGCCAAATGGCGGTTTGCTTGCCTTCTTGTAACGGGATCTCATTATCGATATACCGATGAATAGGGAGCGCTTGGGCCTCTGACTCTTGGA